CGGGTCACCTCATTTAAGATGACGCGAGTCCTCACACTGCTACGGGGACCTACCGAAAAATTTGGGAGCAAGGCTAGGAGACCGTACCCCGCTCATCAGATTGTCCTGACATAGTCCCCTTCGACTGCTACCTGCTCCTCCTTCTCAAAGGCAGTTGGCACGATGGTTTCCTACTCGCCTAAAATGCTAGTAGAGCGCTATACAGGGGGGGGCAAAAAAAGTCACTTCGACCGAGTCACATATCAGCAAAGTTTTCGCAGCCCAGAGAGAAGACGTGGATACGAGTACCAGGGCGGAAGATACCCAAGATGTTCCTCGATAAGCAGGAGCTGGCCCTCGCCCATCACCTTCATGTACACCAAAATATGAAGTCATCTCCAGTCGCAGCCTGACTGGAGAAGACCTTTGGAATTCATGTCACCTCCAAACAGCTGCGAAACTTCTAGTGTGGAGTCACCCATGGGTAGCTACCTGGAGACCAGTACTCTCAATCTGGAAGACCTCCAACATCGAGCAGCTCCGACAACGTCGCTACGGTCTAGGACATCATCTTCACGCAGTCGCCAAGGCGCGGGTTGATGGTATGGACCGGACGCACCTGGAATGGAAAGACCAATATTTTCTTCGTGGACCCCGGGCTGAAGCTGAGCGCTGGCGGTTACATCGACCAACTCAAGAAGAATATCTTCCCCACATGTCGTCGTACCTTCTTGGAAACTTTGTACTGCTACAGCATTGGGTGCCACCACGTGGAATCGAAGGGCGTTGGAGAAACTCTCGCCTACTTGGAATGGAAGGGGGCTGAGTACCTAAAGAAGATGGAATATCCAAGTAGGTCACCTGACCTGAATCCCCTCAATTACCCGGTTCGGGCGGAGTTCAATAGGGTGGTCTACGGTGGCGGAGAAATCGACTATCTCGCTGATCTCAGGCACCACATCGCGGTCGCGTGCCAGAATCTCTCGATGGCGCTCCTCCAGAAGGCTGTGGCGGAGTGTCATGATAGTATTTAATATGCTCTTTAATATGGTGGTAGAAATGTCCGATCAGAATTATAAAGTGTAACTTATAGCGCCTCGAAAGTCAATGAAGCAAAGTGACTTTTTTTGGCCCTCCTTGTATATTGGGGGGAAAATGGAAAGAACGGAGAGTTAGTGAAACGGTCAAAATTCGGCGAAGAAAAAGTCGAGTTATCGAGTGACTTTGTATGATCTCTTTGATCCTATGCAAATTTTCGGAGATCATCCCCTATCCAGTTTCGCCCACTGTTGCGACCGCCGTCCACTTCCCAATCCTCTGATTTCTAAGCCTTATTCCACATGTTCTGGAATTTCCCAAGAATTTTCCTTTGCCCTCGAGTAGAGCGCAGGGCACATCATTAGTTGGAATTTTAGTCAAGTTCTGTACGACCCGCCTCCCCTTGGTCCCTCTGTTCTCTCATTCAAATCGAATCGGAGCGTTCGACGGAGGGGGTGGGGTATATAGTTGGGCATGAACAGAAAAATCACCGAAAGTCAACACCCTCTCGCTAATTAGCCGTTCCCACATGATTGACCAGTAGTGACCCCCCCTCGTTTCATCTAGGTCTATCGATTTGTTTTAATTTCTCGACAACAGATAATTCCCTTTCACTAGTCCTATGAAGCGAGAAAAATCAACTATCAAAATAAATTTTTCCCAGCCCAAATACGACCCCCCCTCTCCTGGCGGCCAAATACGACCCCCTATTGGGGATTCCCCAGCAACGATGTGCCCTGGTCGAGCGGGGGGGGAAGCGTTTATACCACCAGTGAAGCAGGGAAAACCTTAAATAGTCTATAAGCGGTGCGGGAAAAGAATTCTCCTACGCGGGAAATCTTTTCAAAGACGAATACGAATCCCTTCCCTTCGTCCATCGCCCTCTCTGGGGCCTCCCCAAGGTACACAGGACGTGCCCTGTTCTCAGTAACAACTATAGACATCCTCTCTAAATTCTGCAAGATGAACTGTGTTTACTATTATATTTTTCACCGTTGGTGGTTTTGATTCCTCTAAACTTTGCTGTGTAGAGTCGATGTCTTCCTGAAGTAAGGACGATGTGTCTTCTCTTTCGGGGATCATGTCATCAGCAATAGGGCCACTGAAATGTCGAGAATAAGCGTGCTTTTTCGTGTAATAATTAAAGATCAGCTCACTCCGCTGAAAACTTTTCTGTTTTCGCCACTTCACGCGAGGACGGTGGAGGTGATTTATCTACAGTTTTCCATCTAAACGAATTCCTTCAAAAATCGTCAGAAAATATAATATCAGAGGAAGGTCACCTCAGTTTTGCCTTACGCATTTTCGTTGCTGCTGGTCGGAACTTCGCGTTCACGTTTTCAAATTCTTCAGCCTCGACGTCTACGGTTTTTCTTTGGAAAAACTAAATTGCCCCATATGTTTTACATGTTTGGGCTGATTGTCTGCCTAACCGAACCTACCCTAGAAGTAATGCTTTAAGTAGGTTAAGATTGGGTTCAAATTTAACACACATGCATTCGGACGGCTTGCAAAACATGCGCTTCAATGGCCACCAAAGACTACTCTGCATGTCATTGAGTATCACTGCAGAAGGTGGTTCCCCACTTACACAATTCACTTTATCGGCCTCGGCTGTAGTTCAAGACACTTGAGACACTGTATCGCGCTATGCCCGCGTTTCACTAAGGCTTTTCCTCCAACTAGCCTCGAGGAGTGCACACAAGAAGAAAAGGAGTGTGGCTGGTCTCATAAGCCGACTCCACTTACATTGAACCCTCATTGGCCCCAGTGACGCGTTAGAATTCACTGTAATTCAACCTTCCCTCATTTTTGGTAGCAATCTGCTATTGCATAGGTTGCAACCCAACAAAGCCTTGGGCATGACATCTAGCACTGCTTCCAGGACAAACTCACACTACAAAGTGAGCGCTAGCGATAATTGGTTCTGTGATTTAACCAACCTCTTCGTTCTTCTTGTCAATACCTGGAAATAATGAAATTTGACTGACAAAGTTGAATCCCAGGAGGACCAGCAATCAATATCCTTTACGTCTTTACCATATTTCTTCCGGATTTTGCGTCGTTTTTTCTCCGATGCGCTAATATCCACAGCTGACGGACTTTCTTCATCTTCCTCACCCTATACAAATTACTGATTCGAAGACAGCGCCCGCGACCAACCAAGATGCAGAAATTTTTAGAGTACAAGATGGCGGAGCTCGTGGTCACAGCGGATATCTCTTCACGGCTCAAAAGCGCTTGATAAAAGCACGACAGCTCAGCAACGATAAGCTGACTCCGCCTATGAGGGGAGTCAACAAGTTCCACCTCAATCATTTTTCATTACCAAGATTCGTTAGCGGTGATAATTGCTAATCTTATCGAATATGCCTTGGAGAATGAGCCGCAGCAAGTGGCGATTAGATACAGAGAACTCGCCCAAAGTTTAATTAACTCGTCCATTTTCAATTCCGTACATGAGGTCTTTTAGGGCATTTTCAACGCTTTCTTTTACTTTTTTCTTGGCTAGTATTGTACTTACAACATGATGTGATGATTATAAGCTCCACAACCCGCAAAAGGCGATCGCGAGCGCTTTCTTTTTTTGTTGCTGCCCTGATGAATGGAGAAGCAGGAGAACCAATTTTCAGTAATTATGACTAGTATTTGAATGGCATATAGAAGAACCAGTCGCGCCGGCTGACGCCGTCTCGCCTCCTTCCGTGATACGGCCCGGCTTTCGTCTTCACTATTTACCCTGGTACTACAAAAGAAGTTACACGGATCCTAATAGGGTGTGTGATCACCACGGACAGCAATACATGCTCTGCACCGCGATCCCATACTCTCCAC